TCACTGTAAGATTAACAATAGAAATTTTAATGTTGGCCTATGCCACTTTTGGCCCTGTCCAATAAAAAAAAATGTATTTTGATGACGTCATGGAAAATACAAAAAGTTTTCCACAGAAGTTCTTTTGTCCCAAACCTCCTTAAACATTTCAAAATTAATTTGTAATTTCACTGTTCCCTGGTATTACAATGAAAAATAACATCGTCCAATCAGAAAACAGTACAAAAATGACGTCATATAGATTTGAAAATGCTTTTATTGAATTCTACGGGTATGAAAACCTCTAGATAAGTCTTGTATTCGCTCAGATTAGCTTCTGTAATGAGTAATTAATTTTGGCACGCTTTGACTTCAATCTGGCCCACTGTGCAGCGGTGCGTAACCAACAGAAATAAGATAAGCTTTTGGGCTGATTTTCTGACATCATGTTGTTTAAAAACTCCATAACGGGGCGTCGTATCCAAAAAATGTTTCCAGGAAAATGTTCTTAAAAGACCAGTCTATACCACTATATGATTGAAAAAAAAATTGAAAAATTTTTTTGACCTCTGAAATCAAGATTGAAAAAGAAAAGCCTATCTTAGTAGTGTATTAAAATAGGCCAATGCATTACAGTGCAGTAGCATAGGACTTTCGTGTTGTTACTGTTCCAAGTAGCGATAATATACATATTTCTCTTATTACAAAGTACAAGTTATGTTTTATAGAGAGGTATAGTATAGTAAATCATGTTTTTAACACAGGAAACTCTCATATGGTAACTAAAACAATTCTAGTTCAGAGTATTACTAGTACTACAGCACTGTAATACCGATGGTGAAAAAGGCGTTATCCACTACGTAGACCTAGTATCTTTGAATGCAGTACAAAGCGTGTTTTGCTGCTGCAGCAATATTACACTGCTTGGGAGTTATCCCAAATTCTTCGGATTTTTAATGACACCTTGGGACTTTTGGAGTCCACTCGCTAGTCATAATATTAATAGGCTATTTATAAGGTCCACTGTTCACAAAGCTGGTTTTCCACTACGAATTTATTCGCGCGAATCAAAGCTTCGGTTCGCTTCCTGAGCTCTGATTGGTTGCGCATTTTCTCGCTTCGCAAAAATTCCGATAAGGTATGTGAATGATGCGCATGGACCGACGCTTTCGATTCGCGCGAATATAATAAATTTGCCTTGTGGAAAACCGGCTCCGCTAGTTATAAATACAATTGTTTATAAAGCTGGTTTTCCACTAGACGAAGTCTAAATTGAGAGACATGTGAAGTATACTCATCTCCATTTGAATGCTCACCATGCCACTCCCTTTCGCTTGTTTCCTGAATCTATAACAACTCCCTGCCTGAAAAAAGATTTACGAAGTATCCGTTCAAAGTCATGGAAGTACTTTGTACTAGAAAGCCCCACAAGTCAAACAAATATATATATGATGTAGCACGTTGTTCCATATTAAATATAGTGGTGAAGGCGATGACAATAAAAACAAGTTAAGTTGATGTATTTTTGGAACATTATTTAACACGAAAACCTCTATTTTTATTATGAATAGCCAACCTCTTTTTTATTATAAATAGCGAACATTATGAATAACGGTCTTTAATTTATATCATGAGTAGCGAACCCTTTTTCTTGATTATGACTAGCGAACCTTATGCCTTGTGGTCCTTTTAATAAATTATGAATAGTGACCCCTTTTCTTGATTATGACTTGCGAACCTTATTTCATAGGTCCAGTATGCGGTGGGGCCCTTGGCGGATATTTGACAAAGTTTGGTGAATTTTATTAGTTATTTCATAGGCATCAAGCTGTAATATGACTTCATAATTGTTGTAATATCCAGTGGTGGATCAATTAATTTGAGGATTGGGGGGGAGGGGGTACTTTCACAGATGGAAAATCTATACTACCTCAGCCCCACCATGGTTGGGATTAAGAAAATTTGTGATTATGGCACCTATAGATGACTGGAAATTTCACTTCCAGACATCAAATTTAAATATACTGTAATTTTCTTTCATCTCCCTTCAGTCTGCCATTGGGTACCTTCACAGATAGATGAGCTATCTTGGGATTTTTTAGACCCACTCTTGGGAATTTTCATTTTTCAAATCAAGTCTAGCTCAAAATTATTATAGGAGTGAACTAGAAATAAGTGGAGATCCTTTGCGTCGCCTCAAGCGCCAGAGGGCACAGAAGAGGATTAAGTAGTAGTAAGTAGTACAAAAAGTTTGGTTTGGGAAATCATTGAATTTACAGTATTTTTTTGTAGAGAAACAAGATTTACATAGTAAAACCCGGATTGAAGTATACAGTAGAGTGGCGACAAGATTTACCCAACGAGGGTCAAATGTCCCAAATGGGTGTAAGCCATTAGTGACCAAGCCACGGACATGCTGTCCGCGTCGTGTTTGTTTTTCTGTTTGTCAATGTCACTGATTTTTTTTTTTTTTTTATTTATTTTTTAAATATTTTTTTCTATATTGCGAGTGCACTGCCATTTTTTTTTTTTTTTTTTTTTTTTTTTTTTTTGCTCGGGCACCTCACTTAGGGTGGCCATCTCATCGAGCTTTGCTCTTATTGGTCATTCCCCACCGTTTGATTTTACTGTATTCAATTTATAAATATGTATCTCGGTGAATAAATTTGAACTTAAACTTGAAACATTGATTGTGATTTATTTATTGTTAACTAATATAATTATGGAAGTACCTGTTAATTTTTGTAAATATTACGTTTCAGTAAGAAAAGAATCAATTCAGTTTTTGATCATTACCGTAAATTTACAGTGAAATTAAAGCCAGGCTCCGGAGAAAAACATTTTTTTTTTTATATGTTGTACAACTTATTTTAGGCTACGTACAGACTTGGAGATAAGCCAGGCTTGAGGGAAGCCCGGCTTAGCTTTGCCGGGCGTTCAGACTAACGGGAATAGCAGACAAGAATTTGCATTATAATGAACCGTAACCAGGAAACGTGTTTCAAAACATTGCTCACGAAACATACACTCGCTCACAGCGTACGTAATTGAATGCTGGTTGGTCATTTTGTCACCCAAAGTCAATGCAAGACCCCTCTCAACGAATAAAGCCCGGCTTAGAAAAGTTAAACACGGTGGCATGCCAGGCCTAGTTGCTATAGGAACACAGCCCGGCTTGAGATAAGCCACCTAGTTCAGACTGGCAGGTGGATAAACCCGGTGAGTTCAGCCGGGTTTATCCACCTAATCTGGACTAGGCCTTTAAGGGACTTCTGGATGGCCGGAAATGGCACACTCAGACTTCAAAAATACTTTTAATGTAAAGTTGATAAAATACAATTGTTACTATACTCTTTTTTCTATACCTTGTTTTGCAAACCACCACCCTCCAATATTGATAAAATAAGATATGTATATTTCCTCCTATTTATATAAATTTAAAGCATTTTACCATTCCATTACTGCAAGGTTTATATTCAACACTAAAATTTTATTTTTGTTTTATCCTCCATCAGGTTGATTTTGGCAAAACAAGAAAACAAAATTTTGTTTTTATTTTTTTTCCCACCCGCCTGGGGGGGGGGGGGGGGGGGGGGGCTCCCCCCCCCCACTTTTTGGCGAAAAATATATAATGTCTGGAAATTTTTTTATGATCGGAAATGCAAAAAAAGAAGGAGGGAAGAAGGAGGGAAAGGATGGGAAAGAGAATGTTTATCCAGTACCCGACCGAGTTACATTTTCGGGGGCTGCCCTCCTCCCCCACCCCATACCTTTTAGAAAGAAAAAAAAAAAGGAAAGAAAGAAAAAAAAAAGAACTAATCGCCCAAAGCGCCTCGGGTTATTTTCAAGTGTCTATAACACTAAATTTCCGAGGGGCATTCCCTGGACCACTAGGGTAGTGTTATCTCTATTGGCCCCACTTTCGGTCCCCCCCCCCTTCAGACATCTCTGGATCCACCCCTGGTACAATATATAAAACATTTGTTTGCCCTCCCAAGTCTGGCTTTAAGGGTGGAAAAAATTTAAGAATGGTATTACTACTGCATCTGTTGGCAATTGGCAAGAAAAATATCTCATTAAAATGCATCATGGAGGAATATATGTAACAACCTGTGATGAAATAATTATTTTGAGATTTGATGATAGTCAATAGTAAAATAAATTTCCTCACCATATAACATACAATTACAGTATTACCTTCACCTATATTTTTAAAGTGGCTGGTAACTAATTTAAGGATTTTTTGTAGTAAAACTTTTGTAAATCAGAAAATGAGAGCTCATCTTTAAATCTAACTATACAAAGCAATTTGAACATCTAGAAACACAATGATAAAGAAGGCACCACACATTGGTTCTTATTTGGATAAAATGCAATCATGTCATTTTTTATTTCATTTCACATCAAGACAAAAAACGGAAGAACAATAGAACTCGTTTGTAACACAAAGAACGATGTTCACCGTTTTCATACACTTCCCTTGAGCAGTGCCCTCCCTTGCTATATCCTTGAAAATAACCCCCTTATATTGTTGTCATAAAAACATAGACATGATAGAACTAATTCAAATATCAGATTCTTTAAACTACAGTAGCTGCCAAAATAACTTAACTATAGAGGGCAGCAAACAGGTCATAAAGATCTGTAAGTTTAAACTTTTGCTTTGCTCATCCTTGTGTGCGTGTGTGTGTGTATGTATGTATGTATGTATGTATGTATGCATGTGTCACCAACATGCATGTACATGTATATAATGTAAAATGTTCATTTTAATACAGTAGTTCATTACACATCAGCATTATTTTATTTTAAAAATAAACACTAAAATCAATATATGAATAATAATAATAATAATAATAATAATAATAATAATAATAATAATATAATACTGCATTAATAAAATAAATATTTATATACTTTGATGCACTGGTTAAGAAATTGTCGATAAAAACAGTCAAACTATTTCCATTTCACATCCTGAATAAATAACTGTGTTGAAATTAAATCTGAAACAACCAAAACATTTACACCCCATTTTGCATTTGCAGACTATACCAGGCTTAGCCATGTATTTATGACATTAGATGTCACTGATGATATGTGTTATCTTAATGATTAATGAAATAAACAACTATGCCTTATACTGTAAAGTGATATGCATCTTAAATGGAGTGATTTCAAGAATACCTTACTCATATCTAATTAACTGTGGAGCTGTTCACACCATGTAATTGGCTCACTCAAAGAAATCTGAAGTGAAGCAGGAACTCCTGTCACAAAGAACTATAATTAGGTGTCATAAGTCAACACCACAGATCAGTAAAAAAAAAGCCGACATTCATTTATGCAATGGCATTTGATGACAGATTGTTAAATTATTAAGTAGAAACTATTTCAAAATAATAGCTTAACATCCAATTTGCATTACTTCACTGATCAACTTAATCATTTTAACTAAAACATGAAATCAACAATAATCATTTTATAAAACAGTTGTTTCGTGTTAATCCTTACGGGGTGAAAATATTACCAATATATTTGAATAACTAACCTGAGGGACTATCAGTAAGCATACCCTAATATTTATACATAGGGACCAGAAAACGTGTGAACATTGTCCACATGTGGGGGACCGAGAAAACATAAGCTACATAATAAAATATTAGAATACAATTAGTGTTATCAGGATGAATAAAGCAAAGGTAAGCAACTTTAACAATTATTTCTGTGCTCATTCATGCATATTATTTTTTACTTAGATTCATAGGAATATGCAATGAATGTGAAATTACATATTCAATGTAAGCACTATTCAGTCACCAGAGTTTTCAATTAAATGACATGGTTTTCAAATTTCATAATATATATATCGTATTTGTTTTCTTTAATTTTGTGATGTAAATTATCACATTTAAATGGAATTTAGAATTTAATATCAGGGAAAATACATTTGCATATAAAGAATCTGAAGTCAAGGTCATTTAAACAATATTTAAATAAGAATAATTTACCAATTTATGGGGCGAATTTTGAAATCTTTAGATAGGATAAATCTGTTGCAGAAACATCTTAAAACCTTAATTTAATTCATCTAGAGTTTAGTCAGCAATAATTAGCCTACGATTCTGACTTATATCCTCATTGTTAAAATCTCAATAATATCTGCGGACCAGGAGCCTTGTTGGCACTCCATTTAGAGAGTAAAGAGCAAACAGCACACTAGGCCAATTGGCAAATCCATTTTAAAAGGCTGGATCAGACAGTAAACTACTGCAGCCTGGCTGGTGGTACTCTATAAATATTCAGAGCAGACAGAAACCCTGTTTGTACTCCACATAGAGGGCCAGGAGCAGACACAAGCCCCCGGTAGTTTTTAATTATAAGGTGCATTAAAAGAAAACCAAACATGTTGGTAACTTGCACAATATGATTCTTGGAGTACGATTAGATAATTCTGTAGGATTCTTCTGCTTGCTTCAATTTAAATCCTAGGCCCTTGGTAGGATTTTCCTAAGAGCCGATCCATCAGGAGGAAACAACATTATTTCCCATCAGGTAAAACACATCTTGTACATTCAATACAAGGCTCAGCTGTCACACATAAGCAGCATATATCCTTTTCAATAAGAAATTCCTCCAGCTCTTAGACATCAGGTCTCTATAATATAATAAATTATGAAGGCCTTGATCAGTCTGGGGAGGAGAAAAAAAAATGGCAGTTATTAAAATCTTGAACAATGAAGCACCAAAATAAGAAATCCTACATATAATAAATATACATTCTTGGAACTGAAATAAAATTCTTTAACCACAGCTGGGTCATTTCCATGTCAAATCACCCAATGGGTTTAACCCAACTGACTCCGATTTCGAAAAAAATTGGTATACATGTTGGATTTGGCATCAAATGTGCAAACCTCAAATTTTAGCTAAATCGGATCAATATTTTGAAAGTTACGGCCCGCCCAAATATGGGAAAATTGGCCAAAATGGGTGGGGCCACCAACATTTAAAGCTTAATATTTCAGCAGTGGGCTGACCAATATTCATAAAATTGGTAAAAAGAGAATTAACTAAGGAATATAAATATGCCATTATTTTGAAAAATTGACCTTATTTAATTTCAATGATCTTTTGACCTCAAATTTTACCTTGTGGATCGCGTCGCCGTGAAATTTTATTTCATTTTAATCAAGGCCATGGGTGTTAGCTACGACATAAAAAAATTGGAGATGTAATATTTCTTATAAGCAAGTAATATATATTCAAAATTTGCTAGTCTAGGAAAAACCCCAAAATTGATTTTTTTTTTGACAATAAGTAATATAAAAGTACTATCAAAAATTTACAGATTCACTGCTGAGAGTGGGCCTGGTTCTTGTATCAACAAAGCTGCTTGTTTCCCATGAAGAGGGTCTGGAGGCCAGCAAAGGCCCCCAGCATGGTTAGAGGGCAGAGCCCTAATGTGGGTTTGGTGGTGAAGCTATGTATTTGTATGCTTAATTTATATGATTGAAGACAATCATGGAGATTAGATCTTGAGAAAAAATAAGTTCTTTTTGTTGGTCATTGACTCGAAAGTACAGGCCCGCCAGTCCCACCCACTCAGCGCTAGTATCTGAACAGACTCCAACTGTATCTTACCTGCTACCCATTTAACACTTTGGTGAAGAGAGAAACAATGCATATAAAGTACCTGTCTACATATACAAGCAGTTAGCCTTGGAACATATGACTGGAAGATCAGGCTATAATTATATTCTAAGCAGGCAAGAGTATCAACTATAAATACAGTAAATTAAAATGTGTACTTACTCTATATATATTTTTGAATTTTATGCACTACACATTGCTCTAGTTAGTCTGCTGGTAGGCTTGAATAGGAGGGTGTTGACCTTGACCTCCTAAACAAAACAAAAAAATACAAACAAAATTGGTTACTATTTATTATTTATACAACCTGGTATATAATTATCACTGCCATTGTTAATTCTGGTACCAAGTGACTAGAAATATTTGAAACCTGTATATTACCTTGTGGGGGCAGATATGATATGCTTCCACTTGGTAGCATGACTGTGTGTGAATGTTGGGGGACTGGCTGTCCCCCTCCTACATACATCACATTGCCAGGTTGTGCATGAGGGTGCGGGTGAGGGCTAGTGTGAACTGTCGTCATATTTGTTATGCTGTGGGAGGTAGCAGAGTATGGCTGGGGTTGAGGCTGCTGCTGTTGTTGATGCATTAAAACAGTTGTAAACGTCTGCTGAGATTGAGGTGTGTGACCTTGAATTGGTTGGCTGTGCTGTGGCATGTTGTAATATATCGGTAACGGTATATTTTGCTGAGTAGATTGTGAGGGTGACTGTATAGAATGTTGAACTGGGCTAGGCGTTGGTCTATGACCCTGAGGCTGGCCTTGATGGTGCTGGTTTTGTCCTTGTTGAGCTCCATGGGAGTGAGGATGGGCTGACTGGACCATTTGATGGTGACCTGCTTGGCCCTGGGGATGTTGTTGGCCTCCTTGTTGAGCAGATGAGGGGTGATGAGGGTACACTGATGGCTGTTGCTGACCTGGATAGACTTGACTGGAACCTTGGGGTGTAACTGGAATAAAGTATGTTAATTACTAGCTTTAAAAAATCAATTTAAATAGGGTTATAGATACCAATAAAGAGAATTATGAAGATGTGAAGAACAACATGATGATTATAATGATAGCAATAACATTAACAAAAGTAAACAAAATTAGTAAATACGAAAAAATATAGATAACAACAAACTCGATAAGACTGGGATTAACAACAATAATCTTTTCAGTTTTAGGAAACTTCTACTTGGATAATTTCAATTGGTAGAATGTATAATTCAATTCTATTTACAGATCAACAACTACAACTATACAACTACATGGGCCTTACAAAGTTAAAACTGCCCTCATGTAGCTATGAAAAATGTAACTGTAAACACTGCTTTCTTACCAAAGAGAGGGGTATTTGGAGAGACCTCTGGCAGTGGATGGAGTTGAGCTTGTGATTGTTGTACATTGGACATCGAACTGGCGTGACGATAAGGCAGCTACATAATAAACAAAAACCCAACATTTTAATAAGTTCATCCGCATTCCACATAAACTTATCATTTCCAAGATGGTCTTTCAAAAATAGTAAAATATATCATATATCTTTCGTCATGATGTTTACCTATACTGTATATGGTCATGATGTGATGTCATCATGACTATATTTAGGCGTGTCGCATGTTTTTGTCATATAAACTTTGATAGTCTGGACAGGGCTTTAGATTAATTAACCAAAAAAAAAGTGGGTTTTTTTTGTTTTTTTTTTATTCACAACAGGCAACAATTTTGTACCTTCAATTGAGATGACTACTTTTGCTTAATTAAAATCATAGACTGATAAAACAGTGTAAAGATTTGTGTATATATGGGTATGATATGACAACATTATATCCATAGATCAAGTTTCATGTTTCAATTTTCAATTTCATTTGCTACAGATGCCATTGTGGGCAAATATCCACTTTAAAAATACAATACAGGACAATAAATGCAATATACACGAAATAATACAGTAGAACCTCAATTTTACTTACGGTACTGGACCGGAGGGCGTGCATAAATCTGGGTATTCGTAAAATTAAGGTTGGGTTAAATTTGTAGGCCTACAAAGGGAGGATATTTAAGATTGTCCAAGAATATTACGCCTAGATATCTGATGGAATGAACAATTTCAATTGTTTTACCGTGAAGAAGAGGGGGAATATATCAGGTATTTGTGGAAGTCAATGTACATAATTTTGCGTTTATGGGGCAAATGTTAAACCATTGGAAAGGGACCAGGACTCAAGAAGGGAGCCAATGGAGTTACGAGGTTGTAATAACAATGTTTTAATGAGCTAAGGAAAATACTTTCAACTAATTTACTAAAAAAGGGGAAGAGACAGAAATGGGACGATAATTAGAGAAATTCCAACTGCTGGAAGTGATATATCATCATGGCCATATATGGCCATTCCATACAAATTTTTTCACATACACCACGCCCATATATGGACATTTGGCAAATTTGTCATAAAAAAATTGATAATGTGGATAGAGCTTAAATGTTATATATAATTAATAATAACAACAACAACAACAATAAAAACAATAACAATAATAACAACAATAATAATAACAATAACAACAATAATAATAACAATAACAATAATAATAATAATAATAATAATAAAAATGCTAACCTTTTGTTGTTGCATCTGCACAAATGGCATGGGTTGAGGTTGCATTATAGGCTGACCTGGGATCATCTGACCAGGATGTGCCCCTGGATGCTGATGATACGGCGGTACAAAATGAGAAGGGGCTAGCAGTGGTTGCCCGGTTGCTGTTGATGCCGACATCATTTGTCCAGATATATCCCCTGGTTGCTGCTGCCTTGGGGGCTGTGGTAGATTGGTTGCCGCTATGAAAAAAGTCAATGTATTACTTGAATGTATTCAAAAACAAATTCCTTATGTCACATAGAGAAAGTACCGATCCAATTCATGGCACCTCATTGAAGCTTATATCAGCATTTCACAGAAATACAGTAGAACCCCTATTAAAGGGACACCCTTTCGTGTTTTTGGTTAGGGACAAAAAAAAATGTCCCCTGAATAGGGGTACCCCTATTCAATGGACATTTTTTTTTGGTCCCTAACCAAAAACACAAAATTGTCCCCTTAATAGGGGTTTTTTGGCATGTTTTCATACAACGAATCAGCTAAGTAGTATTAGAACTATAATTTATAGCAACAATTTGCAATGCAAATACGATTCATTTATAATATGAAATCAGCACAAATGTAATTAAAACAACAATAGTTTTATATGTTGTAGAAGCAGTTTGGTGCAGCTGGAACGATATGGTTTCCCAACCTCGAAGTCCGGGTTTTAGTCTCTCGCTGTACTGTACATTGCTTCTCCTGTAATCACCTGTCTTGTCGGGCTCGTATGTAGACCATACACACCTGTATGGTACAGTACATGAATAGGGATGTCCCAAAAAAGGGGTTCTACTGTATATCCAATAAAAAAAAATTAATTTGTACCATAATTGAAAAAAGTTCTAATGGTACATTGTTGATGTACTACTATTCTCAAGTTTTTAAAATATTCCATAAATCAAAATAAATTAATCAGTAAGCATTTAAGTTTTATAAATAAGATTGAGGATGTGGAATGTCTAATCTATGAGACAGTAGCATAAATATAAAAGACTTTCCCAATCAAAATCGATTGGTCCAAAAACAAAAATAATAATGAACTAATTATTAATCTTCATTGTTAAATTACTCAGTAATTATTTTTGTATTTGGACTAACCAAATATTTGTTATCATAGGTTCAATATAAAAACCGGAGAACTACTTACGACTTTTAGGATATTTTTTCTGAAGAGGAATTTGGTGTGCATAGACAACTGAGGGCATTTGAGGGATAAAGGTGTGCGGTGGAGGGGGTCCACCAGTCATTATTTGGGTCATTGGCATTGATGGTGGATGGAGTGTTGGACTCTGACTCTGTCGTGAATGCGGTCGGGGAGGTGTCGGTGTTTTACTCACACTCACCCCCTTACGTAGTGAGTTCTGTGTTGAAAAAAAAAAAACAGTTAATATAATTAAAATGCATACAACTTGTAAATATAGCTTGGATTAAGGCCTAAAAATGAACATCAAAATGGACTGCTCAACTCCTTGGATATTTTTGCTAAATTACCGCAAAACAACTTAACCTATTGTAACCATATTTGTAAAAAAAATGCATATTCCTGGATCTGTTCTTACTGGACAGTTAAGTTAGACTGACACTCAAAGATAATAACAAGATAGCATTTTCCGCAGTTTGCATTCAACAAATAGAAGCGTACAATTCACGTAGAACACAATGGAAAGTAATTGTAATTGAAAAAGGGCATCCTAGTTGTTACTATGGTGGTTGTTTCAAAATTTGCACCGAGATCATAGATGTCAAAGTTCAAAAGTAATTGCAATGGCAAGAGGGCGTCCTACACTGTGTTATTACAGAATTTGCAAGCAAAGATTGCGGAGAACGCTATCTTGTTATTATAAGATTTTTGCTGACACTCTGGAAAGGTCTATTGTGCATTTGGTAAATATTTCTATGGTCTTCCCAAACTATATTTAATGAGAGGGTGATGTAATTTGGTTCTTTTAAGCCAAAAAACCAAGTCCACTCATGAGGATTAAAACCTCTTTAAGTGCCACTAATATTTACTATTAATAAGTGATCTCTAAAGTGACAATATTTGTAATACCAGAAGTATGTATTTTAGCCCCCAATGGCAGCTTAAAAGTACAATTGAAAATAAAAACAGGATTTTGAAATGTTTATTAGAATCTTACCGGTGTGAAAGGCTTAGCTGATGGGTTCAAGGTAAATTCCTTAGCATTTGGGTTCAGCTTAAATCTGAAAGTAGAAAAGAATCACAATCGTCTTCATATAGTTTATATTTTATCTAATTCTTTAGTATGGACTATCAGGCCCATGGGCTACAATACTTGCGATTACTTTTGACTACCTTAGCCATCTTCTGAACTTAAGTATTAATAATTCTTTATTGGTCCTCATTAAAATAAGAAATTGGAAATTCGGGTTGGCCTTCTGGGGACCTGCGGCAGCCGCAATGCAGCACCACCCAACTTAACTTCAACATAACGAATAAACATTATCCTTAACCCGTCTAACTCTCAATATGAGGGTTATTTGAGGAGCCAAGTGATCAGACTCCAATTCAAACCCAAAACTGGCCGGGTTTGAACCAGGGATGTTCAGCACAAGAAGCAGGAACAATACCTCACGGCCAACAGCTCAGCTCAAAGCTTAATTAAATTATTGTATATCTCGTTTTGTTCAATTTTACACCTTCTCAGCTATTTCTGACCATGCCAGATGAATCGAAAGATGACACAACCAAGCTACACAATTTTATTGGTTACTTGAACCCAGAAATGAGATGAAAATGGAAAGATGGATGTGCCATGTTAGCCTGAAAGACAGACTTCACAAGAACTCAGGGATAGACTTGCCATACAAGGTATCAGGCATTGTGTGCAGTTTGGTAGACTATGTTGGTTTGGTCACATTGAAAGGATGGAGCAGACCCCGAAAAACATGGGAGGAACTCATTCAAAGCGAGCTTAGGGCAAAACGTCTAACTCCGCAGTTAGCTCTGGACAGAGAAGCTTGGAGATCAAATGAAGAATAGTCCAACCCTTAACCAAAATGGAAAAAGACTGAAACCGCATATGATGAATTGGTTTCTTATGCTTAGTTAGTTGGTCGTCTTTCACGCTAGAAAAAGAGGATTTTAATTCTCTTATCGAAGACAACATTCTTATTACGTCAAAATCTCATCAAATTCCACAAAACATGATAGCAGCGAAGACACATATTCATGGCACTTTGGTAAGTTGCTATTCTCATGGGTGGTGGGCTCTGACACTTTTGGAATGCAGATAAGCCAATTAAAAGAAGATTGTATGGTGATTCCTTATGACCTCCAACAAGGGCACTGTTTCCGTGTGGAAAGTTGATTCTTTCCTTTATTCAATTTTTAGCAATATTAAATGCATCCAATAATTATTTAGACAAGATATTCTACTTTGAGAAACAATTGTGAAAAATGCATTGAAAACAATTAATGCCCTCAACTAAGTAATAAAAAGGCTAATCAAATTGGCTTGTTCATAATTGATGCAATTCAGGGCAATACTGCAATGTCAAATGTGGCAAAGACAAGCCAAACCAGTCACTTGTCGCAAATCCTGTTTCAGAGATAATGGACAAAACATGCTGGAATTTCAAAATTTTTGAAATTTATTGTATTGCACTAAACTAACTTTCATATATCTATACGGCTATGTTCTCACACGGCAGCTAACGGTTAGCAGGATCCGGATCCTGCTAACCGTTAGCTGCCGTGCGTCCATGCGAGAAAATCCCAATCCAGATACCAACAATATGATTATCGAATCACTGGCCAATAAGGAACTGGAAATTATAAACACGTATGTGTGATTGGTTGATGATAGAAATGGCCTCAACTTGCTAACCGATAGCGCTTGCTAACCGTTAGCGTATCCGGATACCGCTAACGGTTAGCGCTAACCGAGCGGGCGTTCTCACGCAGGTGCTAACAGTTAGCGCTAACGGTTAGCTCCCGATCCGGATACTAGGGCTCTCGTGAGAACCAGGCTAAAATCATGCTATGCTGTTATTTTCACCATTTTTGATGTTAAAACAACAATTTTTAACAATTTGGTGATGGTTTCTACCTTGAAATGCCCATAAACTTTGAAGGCTGATTTCTCAAATATTGTTCTTTAAACAGTTGTATGTTTAAACGCCTGTGACTTCATAACAACATGTCGGATTTAAATGAATCTTTTACCATTTTATAGCTCTTATTTTATTGTTTAATTCTGTATTAATAACTAAAAATCAGTTTTTGCAATGAGTGACTGGTTTGGCTTGTCCTTGCCACAAATGTTATTGTTTTAATAATAAACCAGAATGAAATGAAATGAAATTGTAGTTACCCCAGTAGGATTACCTTGGGAAGTCTGTGCGACATTTACCAAGCATCCCAAGTAACATTTTGTCTTTATTAAATTGGGTAATAATTGATGGAGCAGCTTACACCAGGTAATATACCACCACATGACAAAATCAATACAGACAAAATCAATGTTATACTTACTCTGGTTTCTTTTCATCCACTGGCCTTGGTGGCTGAGCTGTGGAGATAGGTTGAGCTTGGGAATGAGCCTGGTGCTGAAGAATTGATACTTGAGATGGTGCCTGGCCTAGCTTCTGAGCCGGTAAAGGTTGCTGTTGTATAATTTGTGTAATAAGTGCCTGCGGTTGAGCCTGCGCAGGTGGTGGTACTGGTCGTGTTTGAGGCGACTGAGAAGATGGCTGAGCTACCTGTTGTGCTGCCTGTTGGGGTACAGGTTGCTGGTTTCCTTGCTGTGGTGTTGGAGCTGGATTTAAGGACTGAACTGGTTTGGCTTCATGGGCCTGGGTAGCAACATGGTTGTTGCTAGGTGTAGTTTGATTCTCTTGTAACTAAAAAATAAAACAAATCAATTTTGCAATCTAACTCTGTCCAAATTTTAATTATTTAAACAAATCAATCAATCACATCAAACAAACAATCAATCAATAACATTTATTTCTCTTATTTTCTCAGAGTACCACTCTCACAAAATATTGTTGAAATACATAAATCAATCCATCAATTCAGTAAACCAGCCAAATAATCAAACAAACCAATCAAATAAGCGAAAGAAATTGATTATCAAAACATTCAAATGAACCAATCAATTCATCATTCCACTAATTAATCAATCAATCAATCAACTAATAACATATACTGATTAATCAATCATATCAATTAAATTATAAAAATCAATTGACCAACAAATCATTCAACCAAATCAATCAATACTTATTTGCACACAATCCAAACAACATGACACACATAAGGATTACAATTATTTAAATTTCTTTGTATAATCTTTATATTATGTAGCATATTTAGTACTCTGGATATTTTCCCACAGGGACCAGTATAGATATAGACAAGTAAAAACTTACCCTGAAGTTGTTGCTAAATTCATTCAATTCACTAATTTTTTGAGCTGAAAATGTAAAACTTTCTTTAGTTTATCTGTCCATAATGAAGTAAAAAAACTAACAATCCATCTTTAAATAATTTCTGCTGGAGGGCTAAAGCCAGACACTCACTGTGTTGCACGACGAATCCAACTCCACTCTCTGTGAGCGATAGACGAAGCATTGCCGTCTGCTGATTGTCGGTGGTAGTCTGAACTGATCCACTGTGCGCATGTCATCGCGTTGCTTTCTCTATAGAATCGCGTCAGCCGACAACCGTCATACGCAGTGAGTGCTTGGCTTAAGTTAAATAATACCTGAGACATTATGCCATTGTTTACTTCCAATACTTATGTGTACAGCATACATTAAGATCAATTAAAATTCATAATTACTTACATTTCTGTGATTTCTGTGGCTTCTTATCCTCTGATGCAACTGGGTGTTGAGGATTGGTTTCACCTGTTGGTGGTAAGCTTCCAACCATTGGGCTTGGTACCCTAGGTATATCTTTTGTAGGCTGCTTGGCCATGTTTGCTGGAGGGCCTGGGCTGGGCGATATTCCTATGGACTCCGGCTTGACTTCTATAGCAATTAAGGATTACCATGTCAATCATAAAATCTGGAAAATCCTCAAATATGTAATTAACTACCATTCAATATTAATTACCATTCAATATTGAAATATTACTACAAAAAGCATATATACACAGATTTTATTTACAACTTTATATCAAACTTCATATTAATTTTTTTAAACATCATAGTAAATTGTTTAGATTGTCTAAATGCCTTTTAGAATCCAGCAACTTACCTCGTTGCTTCATAACATTTTGTTGCTGTGGAACCATGCCACGTTGGGGATTGCTTCCTGCAACAACTTGTGCAGCAGACCTTTGAGGTCGAGGTTCATACGCAAGCCTTGCATCCTGTGACAACCTAACATCTTGGGATTGCCTAGATTCTGGTGACATTCGTACATCTTGCATTGTCAGACGTTCATCAGGCACAGCATGTCTAGGTGGCCTAGCCATGTTCTGTGCGTGTGTCGGTCCTCTTTGGCCCCCCTGTGTTGGAGTGTGAGGCCTATGTGAGGGTTGATTATAATTCCTTTGAGCCGGCTTGTTATTTCTTAAATGAGGGGGTACATACCTATGAGAAGAAAATGAAAATGTTTAAGTCAATGTTATTGTCTTCCTCGGTCACCAATACTATCGCTTTCATTTCTAGTAAATCTTGTAACCTTGGTCATAATTTTGCTATACATATTATCTTTTATTTTAATAAAAAACATTAATAGTTGAACATTTTGATTGATCCCTTGTTCTTTAATAGCTTTGTGCAAAAAAAAAATTTGTAAAAACCCCACAATACATAGAAAAGAGTATAAAGATTCTCTGCCAGAGTATGTGTCATCTAGTGTACTGACCAATATACTTCCTGTCATGTGTGTGCATGTATAGGTTGAGTTAGTGAAAGTTAATATTATAATACACAAGACAGTGAATCGCTATTGAAAGAGGGTACTGCGTTCTAACATTTACATGGGCTTCATTATACATGGGATCAAATGCGTAAATTCTTATCCAAAAAAGTAAGTGTGGTAACGTAAATTGAACTTCAGCAGAAAATTAGCAATTGGAATTAAACCAGGGACCAAAGGTCTCCACGGTTTAACGCACACACAGCTTTAAGCTCCTCTCTCTCTCTAACTGCTGATTTGAGAGTGGGAGTAAATGTACTCGGAAGAACTGAAATGACCATTGCTTACTTATTAGTTGATGCATTACCATCAAACTGTGGGTTTCCTTTTGGGCTAGCGGATCTTCCCTGCTGTGATCCCGATGGGCTCATTCTGGCCTTCGGCCGTTGCACAGCACTGAATCTATCCTCCTCTGTTTGCCCATCATCTAATTCAAGAGCTGCTCTTTGTTTGTAGCCTGCACTTTCTTCAATTTCCATTGCTAGTCTATTCGCCCTTTCTGATTTCTGACGGAACTCCTCTGTATCCTCTTTGCGTAAGAGCGTCCTAAAAAAATTAAATGTTTATTACATTCATTCATACATTCAGTTTAATTTTAAAAAGTTGATGTAAAATGCATAGAAATTTTATGTATCATGTGTATTTATGCATTATATCAATGTAACTTTATTCATTATTAAATCAGATACTATAACATACAATTAAACAAGAGAGGATTATCTAAGATTGCATTTCGACAGTACTTAATACCCTAAAACAACTAGAAAACAGACTATTTCATTATTTTTTTTTTGCTGCAGAAAGAGGGCCTGAAACTATGCTATGAGAATCAGATATTTTACCAGAAACGACAAAATTTTAACCCTTGACCGAGGTCAAATTAATGGGTGACAGACAAAACAACAAATGATGACTTCTTTTTAATATTGATAGACTATTTTGGCAGAACACAAAAACAATTCCCATTAGGACAGTCTGTGTAAGACATGTCCCTGTTTCATACTGTACTGACACTTTATCCCAATGATAAATTTCAAAAGAATGAGTAGTACTGCGCAAGTACCAAATAACATATTGGTCTAGGCCATAGTTACACCCATCTTAGGCAAAAAACAAACATCAAAAGGGCATACACTACTACTACTGAGGCCACCGGCGAGGGACACATTCATTGTTGTCCATTACTTTGGGCATTAAATTTTGAAATACTTTAGTTATGTTATCAGAGATATTTTAAGGTGCTGCGAAAATACGGCCTATACGAAAACTGGATCATGCTTTAAAAAAGTATTTAAAAAATACTTACGTGTAATCTTTTAGAGTTGTGTCGTATGAGGATTCATAACCAAATTGTTTTTCATTAGCTTTAAACATATCTTCCACACTCCATCCATTCTTTAAGGAAAAAAAAACAAATACTTGCTTACATTTTCATAACTATGGATGTACATATATAGTTGCCTTGGTATTTGGTTTATAATATTTCAGTATACAGTCAACTCTCCCAATACCGACCACCCTTCAGACCGTCTACTTTAACCGGATTTCCGGACGGTCCGGTTTAGAGAACGTCATTTTTACCCACCTTGATTCCTTGGCCTTAAGTCGATACAGTCAGGTACACCACACTGTACTATATACTGACCTGAGAATGTCGTTTAAAATGCATCTTTATTACTTTATTTTATTTACATTGTTCTACCTATTTTTTTTTGACGAACTGTATAATCAATAAGATTTACGCAGATCAACTTAATGTGTATCGTATTATCCAGTATAGGCAGAAGGCTTCGTAGCTGCATCGTTGCCTGATATAGGCCTAAACAATCTACGAAGCGAACCTACAAAGCAAAAGCGTGTTGTTTGTTTATATTTGCAGAAAGACTGCTGTAGCATACTGGAATAAACAATGTATTGCTGGATCATTTATGAATGACAAGCACGAGTTTAGACCGTTAATTCAAAGCATGGAGTTGTTTTTGCAAAAAGAAAAACATACACTTGTATGATTTAGTAAGATAAATAAAGGAGAGCTAACGTCCGTTAATGTAAAAATTAAAACCCAATGGAAAATAAATTGCCAGTTCATCTTGTCAACCCCAAAAATCCAGCGTGCGCACCAATCAAAACACAATAAAGTGTGTTAAAGGTTAACCTTGTGGCAAATGTTGAAAAATTGTGGGCGAAAGTGAGTAGAAAACGAAGGAAATTCGGTCCAGCATGAATAGCCTTAATTTGGAAATTTAGTGATTTCTCTATTTCCATTAGTATTGGATCGCTTCAAATTACGGTAAACAAAAACAAAGGTGTCTGAGATGATGTATTTGAGGCATTTCGTCAATAAATCATTGTTTTAATCTGGTCGTCCGGTTTTCAGAAGGTGATTTTATTGTTGCAGACTTAAGAATTTGGCCGGAATTCGGAGATCCGGTTTTCAGAATGGATTTTAATACATTAAGAAAAGGAATGATTTTGAGACTTTTGATTTTGATTTTGAGAAATCCGGTTTCTGGGTGGTCGGTATTGGGAAAGTTGACTGTAGTTAAAAATTTGAAATAATGTTATGGAGGTAGATGTACAGAGAGAAATATTATAACATTGTTTATTTCTAAATTATAATTTACATTCAACAGAGTATGCCACTCACAAGATTTAAGATGTTCTATATGCTAAGTCGTGTTCACAATATACTGATTTTTGATAAGATGAAGGGTAAGTTCACCTTTGTAAAATAGTCCTGCTGTATTTTTTAAAAACCTAGGATTTACAGAACCACTGGCTAAACAAAAGAACTGTTGGCTAAACCACAGAATCGTTGGCTAAACAACTGGACCATTGGATAAACAACAGAACCCTTGGCTAAACAATAAAACCCTTGGCTAAACGCCAGACAGTAGAAATGTAATTGTGAATACATTCAGGAAATATTCAGCGATGTGTAGTAGTAGGAAGCGCACAGGAAGATATAACTTGGACGTGCTGGTCACATTAAGAGTTTTCTACTCAGAAAAAAAGTGGATATTCTTCCTGACTTGGGTACTTTCAACAAGCAGAATGTTAGGCCTTGTCCACACTATCAAATTTTCTTTGACTTTAAAAATGGCCATATATAGTCATGATGTGCCTATATATGGTCATAGCATGAGGTCATCATGACCATATTTAGGCATGTCACATGTATTTGTCAAATAAAATTTGATAGTCTACACAGGGTTTTACATGGCTTGTTCACACTGGGTTTCTTTTGGTCAAACTGAGCAGATACGCGGTTAGTTTTCCCAGTGTCACGTGTCCCTCTGTTATAGGTTACATCAACAGTTGATGTAACCTGATTGTAAACACTTACAGTATCACCATCTAATGATAAATCTGCTGGGGTCTCATTGCTTGGAGTCCACTGCTGTAATTCTCTCTCTCCTGCTTGACCATTCGATTTCTTCCCGCTGATATCTGAATCTGTCTGAAATCCAGGCTGAACATCGCCTACAGATAAAAATTGTAATTAATCAGTAAATGGATTTAATAATGATGATAACATTACAATTACGATATATAGAGTATATATATCAACAAACATGAGAAAAATGTAGAGAGAAAATAAACAGTAACATAATAATATTAATGCAATGATCATAATGAAGAACAAGTAAAATTACCACTTAAAGGCTTATAAAATTATATGAAATTTTGAAAAAAGTAAATAAACATTTGAAATATAATACAATATAAGTTATAAGAAAAAATATTTACTCCTGAAGACATTCCGAAGGAATATTCCATATTTAAGACTATAATCACTCTGTTAACTAAGAAAGTATCAATTCTTTACATTAGGATATTAGGTTATAATGAGTTTTTCAATAACAGGATGATTTCAATTTCAGGGTTTTATGGTGGAAAACCACTAAACTTTTGAATCCTAATTCAATTTAAATATAGACTCAATTAATTGTCAATCATAATTTAGGTCACCTAATCACCGGCTTGTATTTTTGTGTGTACAGCCTATTATATCACTTGATCCATAAACTCACTTCAAGCACCATCACAAAGAAATTAAGAATGATAAACACAATTGGAATTAGCAAGGGACGTACCTAAACGTAGAAGAAAGCGCTGACAAACCTAATCAAAATATGTTAATATCTTACATAGTAATGGTAATTGATACAATTATTACAAAGTGAAGAATATTGAAATTAATCAAATCAAACAGGACACCTTAAATAAAAGCTGTAACAGGCAAGGTTATTTGAGATCAAATTGATATCAATTATTAGCTCTCCCTTTAAACATTAATTTTTTTTATTTTATTCTTAATAATTCATAATCCCCAATGGAAAAATATATGATTTGATATACAGATATTAAAAACTTCTGCTGGATTATTAATAGATGGATGGATAAATTTATTCGGTGTAAACACCAAGAATGACACACGAAAGTCTGAAGAAGACTTATTTCTAGTGGGGTGCATCTGGTGGTGATTGGGCAGTATGCCGGAAGAATCCCTTACTCTTTTTCTGAAGAGTGTACTGCATTCTTTAACATGCACATGGGCCATAAATGCACATGGGACCAACGGCTTAAACGTCTCATCCGAAAGACAGTGCACTAATGTAACTTGCATTTCAGCCCTCCAGCTAAAATACAAGTAGAGCAGTGACGGGAATTGAACCGAGGACTAACAGATAGGTATTAACAGGATTTATTTAGTTATTCCATGAGAAAGTTTTAATTTCAATAAAAATATATAGTTATTAATCTCTTGAAAGATAAATTGAGTAGAAGCTTATTAATTTAATTGTATTTAGTATTGATTATTATACATTATAGAGTACTTAAGATACTTATCCTGCATTTTATGTAAAGAAGTTCTTACTGCTGCTTTTTACTTTTGTAGTACTATATGCATGATCTTTCAGCATTTTACTATTCTCTCTACTTATTTATATCGTATTTAAAAAAAAACATACAATATAATTACAAAGTAAATTATTCATTGTATTAATCATAAAAATTAGGCAAAAAAAAAAATTTGAACTTTAACATACTTTTAACAGCGTATTCGAGATCAACATCTAATGCTGTAAGCGAGACTACATCTTTGAACTTAACAACCAGCTTATCAATTGTCCTTTCCTTGCTTGGTACAGCATTTGTATTGCCTTCTACCATGTGTGCCAATTCTATTACAATCTCACCCTGCAAAAAAAAAATGTTGGATAAAGTCAAAAAAAGAAAAATCTGGATGGTTGGTCGGTCATCTGTCGGTCGATAAATCAGAATTTTTTTCTTTTGAATTCTGAAATTTGATGTTGAAATTAAAATGGTTAAAAACTTAAGAAGCTTTTTATAAAATTATTTGATGCAATGATAGGAAGACAAACTGTACATAGTATATACTTTGAAATTATATTGCGATAAAATCAACAAACAATTTTATTCAGATTCAAAACATTAACAAAAATATAGTCATTGCAAACATCATTTCGATCCACATGATTTAGTTGAGCGACACTCAATGCAAATGCACCCTTCTCTATGTATTACAATTAAAGTGAACTGTAAGTTTGCTAAATAACCACCAAATAATGACTATACTGACTTGAGAGATCTGCATTTACTTATCCATTCTCTGATCATGACAAAAATGTAAAATATATTTTTACTTATCATTTGCCCTGAATATTAATTATAAATACAGTAGAACCTGTACTTTAGGCCAACCTTATTAAGGGGTTGGCCAGCTACAGAGTGATATACATCTGTCTCTTATACACATCTAGATGTGTATAAGAGACAGGATTTAGGGGGGGCCGGCCCGGACTCCCCCCCCCCTTTTGGGAGGTAAAAAAAGAAAACAAAAAAGAAAAAAAGAAAGAAAAAGAAAAAAATGATAGCCCACAACGCCTCAAATGTTACTTTCGGGCGTCTAGAACACAAAAATTTCGTGGGGGAATTCCCCCGGACCCCCTGGGACATTGTTGTCTCGATCGGCCCAAATTTCGGCCCCCCCCTTTTGGATATCTCTGGATCTGCCCCTGTTAACACTACAGCCAGTTAAAATTCAGGGGACAACTCTAAATTCAGGGGACAACTCTAAATTCAAGGTACAACTCTCAATTCAAGGTACAACTCTAAATTCAAGGTACAACTCTAAATTCAAGGTACAAAATGTGTACCTTTCATAATATAGGGATTCTACTTTAAATGTCAGAAAATATGACAATTTTATTATAGAATTTATGATACATTTATCTTTGAGAAAAAGCCCATAATTTTTAATATGATAAAAATTATAATAAATATAAATGACACACAAACTACTGTAAGTAAAATGTAGAAGAAAAATGTGTAATTATTCACAAGAAAAAAAAAATTAAAATAGCATATTAGTAAAAATTATGAAAGGTGATAAGTAATGAATACTAAACTGTCTATAAAACTATACCATCAAACTTGCTTATAAATTAAAGAAAATTTATGTAATATTTAATTTTTTTCCTAGAAACATTTTTGTATCTTGCTCATTTGGACAACCAACAATGTTAGATGGGAAAAATCATCACAGAGTATTAAAAGTTGCAAGAATGATTCAATTTATAAATAGCTGAATAAAACAGAATCTGTAATGTTTCAACATGTTAGAAAAAAACATAGAACATATGTAGAGGTTTTCTGAATTAGTGAAACAAAAACCATTTTTATATTTCCTAAATAAAGAAAAGCTGTACATGAGATAAATGAGGAATGTCATTTAAGTTAAACATTAGAATTCTAAGACAATTATAATGACATGCAAGATATTGTGACAGCAATAGCCAGTTGTTCATGACATTCAAGGGATAATACTCTAGGCTAGGGAATGATTATACTACTCAATTACCTGTACAGCCTCATATGAGATTTCATGGACTTTAGGCAGGCTTTACAGTAGGCTAATATCATAATCCTAATTGTGAAAAAGGTTGTCTGAATAATTTTTTCCAAAAAAACCACCATAGTCTATTCATTTGTTTCATTTTAATACTGTAGCATAAAGCTATTAACATTAAAAGTGATGGGATAAATATTTGTGATTTTAATTTTTGTTTGAAATGAGAGTCATATTTCGTTTACAAGAATATTTTTGAAGATTTATATTCATGCTACATTTTTTCATTTTTTAAAATGCTGATTAACATTTTTGCCAAGAGAATCTTTAGTAAGTCCTTTATCTTAATATTAGCAAAACCTGAATAATTAATAGACAGCACAAACCTGGACTAGTAGGACTGGATTGGAGCAAGCTTGACAAAATATTATATGGAGATTAGTTAAATACATAATGTACTGTACTGTACCTGACCTGCACCAAAATAACTATAGGTTGCAAAGGTATTTTATTTATTTATTCTTTATAATTGGTGGTCTCTGTCCATTCACTGTTTTATGTAGATGTAGATCTAAATTTATAATAGTAGATTTACACTATTTTGGCTGAAGTTCATTATTCACATAATTTGTATAAATTATGTGTGGAAAATATAAAATTAGGAACAAATAATTTTAAAACATGGTTTTACTTAAAACCTTAAATTCTAATTTTTTTTAAAACATGCACACTTTAAAAAATTGTAATATTCATATTTTATATTTATAATTATTAGTAATGTTTGTATTTAATCATACAATGACAATCGTCAGTATACAGATCTGCATCTTTTGTTCTGTAATTAAATTTAAAAAAAAAAACTGACCTAGTAGTTTTAGGTCAAGGGTTTATTCATTTACATCTGGTTGATAAAAAAGGAATCTCCCAATATTCTCATATCTTCAAAAAAAGTTTTTTTTTTGTGGTTTTGAAAATACTTTTTATCCCTCAAGAGATTTCTAAATTTTGTAATGCTTATGGATGGTAGGAAACCATGCATATATGAGCGGAAACGGATAAGTAATTATCTCCAAAGAAAAAGGATACTTGCTATGAGTATAACAGCTGACGAAACATGTAATTTCAACGGTGAGAAAAGTGCTTTTCGAAAACCATTAGCACAAATTATTAAAAAAAACTATTTATTAATAGGATACTACAGTACTATAACATTCCTTAAATGAATACTGGTCCATTTAAGGGGCCTGAACAGTATTATTTATGTCTGATATTTGGTAAGAGAACTGGGCGTGGATGCAGGATTTGTTGGTAGGGGTTGAGTGAGAGGGAAATACTGTAGTTTCGCATACTAATTTTCTATCATAATCATTAAAATATTCAAGTATAAACCAATTGAAATATTTAAATCAAGGTTTTTTTCTCCACTGAAGTGGAGCGTACAGTAGAAGTAGGTCAGATTTCTAATTACATATTCATTCTCTGCAAATGCTACACATTTTTAAGGTCTGAGATAACAATACAGGTACTGAACTTGTACTATACTTGGTACAAAAACTCCTAATACTTAGAAATTTACCTTGTATTCCTACAGTAACTTATTTGAGTACTGTCAAACGTTCTTAATGGAATCAATAATAAAGTTGTTAATATTATTACATCATTATTGTCCCAAACCCCTGAATTAGGTCAAATTTAGAGAAAGCTTATTAATTACCTGGGACAAACAAAATTCAAGTAGTAACATTAAGTAGTAGTAGTATTTTCCCTAGCTACCGGTAAGTATTACATCTGAGCGCAGCCTTTTGACTGTCAATTACTTAAAAATAATGGGGAAGTTTATGATTTGTATTGCTAGAACAAGATGGTGGCATGTGTAACATTTAGGCATGCTCAACTCATGTTAAGAATTAAGGCTACATACTTTTCTCTTATAGATGATACACTGTTTAGTGTTACAATGTATTAAATATTACAATAACAACCTGTAATTCCATATCAAATAAATCCTGAATAAATGAACATGTTGTCGTTTGACCTGACCTTTTAATTGTAGGATAAGCAGTTATTTGAAAATAAATCATAAACATTTGAGTTTTGATACTCATCATAATTGTCATAAGCTTACCCATCTTCTAGTGATTGTAGGTAAATTACTGCAATAAAGCCCTAGTCCAAATTAGTAAAAAATCAATCGGGCGCATGCACAAAGAGCAGTAAGATGTCACTCGTACTTAGTATGGCTACATCTTGAATTAATACAAACTCAATAATGTATCAAAGCACACAGGATCAACAGCTTAAAGTGTACTACAGTCGACCTTCCCATTTACGAACTTCTCATTTACGAACCTTCGGCCGATGATGTCATCGCTAGATTTATTCATCTAAATTTTGCTATTTTTATTTATTTTAAGAAAAACGAATTACAAAGGTGATTAAAAAATGCATTATAGTACTACAGTAGTTATACAGTACATTCCATAAATACATCATACTACTTTAGGATTAGGAAAGTCAAACAAATACATGATGTAAAATAATCAAAACTAGCCGAAATTCAGGCAGGTAGTGCATGCTGCTAGGCCTACCTTGTCTAAGGCTAAGGGCAAGTCTGGCAGCCTATACCAGGGGGCCTACCTACTCTGTGTTACGGTTACCTGCGGTCTAAATGCATTGTAAATCGAATCAGTATAAATGTATGGTAACATCAACTTTTTATCCTTTTAAGAATAAATCACTGTTCGGATATTTAATAAGCATCTGTATTATTTGTTTTTCACTGCCAAAAAAAAAAAAAACGATTAGCAAGCTGCTCTATTTTTAGAAGATGACATCAGCAATTACCCATCATTCAACGCTACAGGTACCAAAACCACATGTTTGGAAGTCAGGAAGGTCGAAAAAATAGGAACAGTTTCTTTTTTTTTAATTACCTGTATACAAAAATACCTTGACTAAATTAAATGAATAATAAGCCCAGTGCTTTTAATACAAATTAATATCAATGTTGGTTTACTAATTTGCTACAAATTACGGAGACAGGCCTAGCTAAAGTTAGCAGAGAGCTGCTGCTAGGCCCAGCTGAACCACCACTCTACTGTATGTTGAACAGTCAGCCTATAATTAGTGACATAGAAGATAGGTCCGTCTATCCATAGCCTACTGTACTATCAATATTTTAGTTTGTCTTGCATTAACATTTAATTGATTCTTCAACGATTTCTATAAATATTTATTGAACGCTTAAATGCAAAATTAAGCCTAGATATTGGTAGGCAAGCCTATTTATAGGCTACAACTTGGCGTTTTTAAACTTGAGGGCGCTATTCTTACGAAATTCTCATTTACAAATTTTCTCAATTATGAACTGCTTTCAGCCCAAATGGGAAGGTCGACTGCTACCCTTATATTTAAGGAAAGCCGAAACACAAACAAAAACCAGAACCCTGCAGGCGTCAACGTTCCTATGCATGATGCATGTTTTATTTTCAGGCAATATGAGGTTTGCTAGATTTTGTGGTGGTTTACCTTGAAAAGTTCTTTGCATTTGAATATTGGGAAAATGAATACTATACTTTAACACATCAGGTATAGGCCTAAATAAATGCTTCGCTTTCTCCCTGCCACCCCTGACAGGAGGTGCTATTATACACGCCTCCCGCAGCATGCAGCAGCCTAGCCTGTTGTCTCATCTCGCGGGTGAAATGTTGTCCCGGTTGACCTTATGACATGTGGCACCCTCTAGAGATATCAAAGTCGCTTATTATTTTTAATCTTATCAAGCAACTGGGGGCGCTAATCAAAAGCATGCGCAATTTCACTCTAAATGTCCACACACACACATACACACAAACGCAAAATGTGATTGCAGAGTCCCTATTGCATTGTATGCATAGGAACTAAAAAGCAGTACTACAAATTTGAATCAGGGACCAACAAAAATTTACCATAACTTTGTCTATAATATAGAAACTACCAATAGCGTAGCAAATAGCAACTGTTTTTTTCCCAGATGAGATTTGAAAAGTAGAAAATGAAAAGGGACATCCATAATATTTTTATTTTCGCAAGAGTAAAAAACATACACTTTGTGGGAAGGAAGTGGAGCAGGTTGACATTGTAGGGCTACAGTATATACTGTAATGAAAAAGATAAAATGACAAAAAAAATGTTTTTTAGTTGTACTCTTTCATTGAAGCAGGGGATACAAAAGCGTATGTTTTGTACTCAGTGTGAAAAGCAATTAAAATAGTGGATGACCCCTAAGATTAATGATGACAGTACTTACATTATTACTTATTGTGCTGAATATTCCCTCATACTTTTTGCCTGATACAACCACAACTTGAACTTTTAATCCCTGTAGGTATAAAAACAAAACCTCATGAATATTCATAATCTTCACTTCACATATGATATTATGTTATGATTCCCTATTACGTTATGATACCAATTATTGGGTGATCACTTTAAAATTTGTAAGCATAAATAAATTATTATCTAATCCATGCATTGTTACACCACTGATAATCTATACATATCACTATGAATGGTAATGTTAATTATCATACTCTAATGTCAATTAACATACTACTATACAGTAGCTATTTTATTATGAACTTTATGAATGAAATGAAATTTATACTTTTTTGTGCTAAAACCTAGAAAACCTTCAAAAAATTCTATTACACTTTAGATTGTTCATTAAAAATAATTAAATAATTATAGACTTTTGACCAAATTTACTGATTTACCAACTTTTTACTGATATTTTTAAGAATCACCAGTCGATTTACAGGTGTATACACAAAATCCATGGGAAAGGCATGAGTCTGTACTATTACTAATAACTGGCAAAGAAGATATTTTCTTCTACTTTTAGATTCAAAGCTACTGTAACAGTTTAAAAATATGACAACCCATTGACTGATTGATTTTTTGAAATGATTTTGTATTTTTTTTTCAGTGTCAGAAATATGGTTAAATATCATTTTTTCTGAAAGAATAATACAATAATGATTGATACCAATTGAAAGATAATTAAAAAAAATGCTTCTAAATAACTTATTATTTAGTATTGTGAAATTATGAAAAAAGTTTTTAAAAATAAATTATTTCCAATTATTGTTTTAGTTTATAAATATTTTTTGATGAATAATTTTAAAAATAAATTATTGAATCCCGAGTCAGTAGTCAGAATACAAACACATCTCCACATCAGCACAAATTATTCCTTTACAAAATAAATCTAAATTTGAAATTATTGACGAAGAACCTTGGAAGATAAAAATAATATAAAATTTTACATCGTAGGGGGCCTAGGCCGAATCCCCTAGGCGCCTCGCCGTGTTCGGTCACCCATTCCCCACTACGCACTGTACCGTGAATAGCCTAACCTACCTCGCGAGGTAAAATCCATAATTCATAATTTTCTGCCTAGCCATCCAAGGTCGTGCGAAAATTGCGTATTGTGTATTTAAAAAATCCAGATAATTTTTTTTTTTAATGAAAAATTACGATGATATAGGACGATTTGGTATCAAAATTTTCCTTATTTTCTCATCTGTCTCAACGTGTAGAGGCCGCAGGTCACCGAAAAACAGAAAGTTGAAAAGTTCAACAGTCATGTTCAGGGTTCGTTTTCATTTTTGTAAACACACAAGATGGCGTCAAGCATAATTGATAGCACATGCTTTGCTTTCAGCCACAAAAAAAAATCAATTTTACGCGGAAATATGTCAATATAATAACCAAATCTGGTACAGTATGTATTTTGAAAATATATTTATAGTATGCAAGTGCCCAGAATAGTTATTTTCTGAAAATAAAGTGTGTATTTAGGTGATTTTATTCACCACCAGTATTGACGCCGACGCCTCGATCAAGGCGATCATGTTACAAAAACGATCAAATTACAAAGTACAGTGTAATTACCCTAAACTTAGAAATTAATTATAAATGGAAGAAGAAATATTTTCTATAAACGTTTTTTGATATTTGCTCACATATTTTTTTAACTTACATGCACACTAAACCGCACATACGATTTTAAAATAATTATAGTTAATTAATTGCATAATTAATTACGATCGTCCCTCGTGACCTCGGCCCACTCGGCCCACATTAATGCGGGCCTAGGGGTCAATCAGTTAAGCAATTCAGGTATTAACATTTATTCTTCAAGTTAATTAGTTTACCAGAGACAGTCAGTATGTTATATAACGCTGCAAGTTTCATTCAATAATTTTAATACTAGTAATAAACCTAAGCAGTGCCAGGGATACAGTAGTTTTCAGGGGTCCCAAGTCTCCAGGAATTCCGGGAGTCTTCCAGAAATTAGTATGGTCTCCCGCACCCCTGCAAACAAGGAAAAATCTCCCGGAAATTCACTATCTCTAGCAAATTCCGTACAAAACAAATTTTTGTTTTATTTAAGCCTAAACTATGGTTGTTGATTATTTTTTGCAGTGTGACAGTGCCATTTCCGGCTTCTAAAGGTGCCTATTCTAAAAAAAATGTCATCACCTCAGCCCAAATCATGGTGGGCGTGGCCCTTTGTTTAGTACCTACACTTTTTTCTCGTAGAATATATAGCGCCCCCAATGTCATTAAACAAATCTCCCAGAAATGGGTTTTTCCAACTTGGGACCCCCGATTTCTATGCAAGATTGATTAAGCAATATAAAGTTTTAAATCAACCAGACTACATTCGCTCATTTTATTGTTGAATATATGGAAGTAATAGGTGGTAAAAATTCATTGCATTTTATAAACAAGAACGTTAAAAAAACATAACAATTACCATCATAGTTATTTAAATTGAATAATATTTAAAGAGGACTAACCTTCAAAGCACTTCTGGCTCATAAGATTAATTTATATTAAATTATCATTAAGAAAGATATGCAACAGTACACAAAAATTAGGATGGGCATTTAATATTGTAGGCGTTAAAAATTAATATCTGTACTTTATCAACAGTTATCATAACATATTGATACTTAAAAATTTCATCCTTTTCTTTGACATTATCTTAGTGTATCACATATTATGAATTAAATTTCATAAGGATTCTGTAAACAAACTCGTTATAATGATTATTTTTTGTGGTTCTCTGGCCAAAGACCAGCCAATGCATCAGCTTACACATTTTTTAAATATTTTTCTTATGTTCACTTTAGGTGCAAAAATGTGTGTCAGATCAAATGCAATTAAACATCCCAAGTGAATAAAACCAAGGGGTTGTTTCTACTGGCTAGAATGAACTACTGTCAGAAACGATTCTTTCAAAAGAAGGTTCTTTGGGCAGTAGAACTGCAGTTGATGGACCTTTCCGTAAAGCTGTATCCTGGATATTATTGCTAAAGGCTGCACAAAACAATAGCATATTTCACACATTAAATGCGTTTGTGGGACAACATGTGTGTTTGTAGGACATGTGTGTATTCCTGTTGTGATTAGTCTGCTGCTGAGTTTGAGTGACACTCCAGAAAACGTCATAGAGTTATTAAACAACTAGAGTGCTGACAAGATGGCGCAGCAATGCAGAGTTATGTATGTGTACCATCCAAGATGGCCGTCGTAGTAAAGCGCTACCTTCAGGTTTATTATACATATTATTACATAGTAATAAGCCCTCCGACTGACTATTATTTTATTAATGATAATGAGTAATGGTAATAACAAATTATTAAACTATTGTAGCTAAAACGAGGCCAAGTGGAGCATCTTATTCAAAAATAAAGTACCAAGGAATGAAAATTAAAATCGTGTATATTACACCCAAACACCGCAACGCTCGAGTTTCAAACATACGGGTAACTAGCTGCACTGAACTTTCTGAGTAAATAGAGGGCGCAATTGCAAACGATGGTGCTTAGCGAAATTTGATTGGCTAAATCTATGGCAGCCATCTTGGATGGTACACACACACGCAGTTCTGCGTATTTCGAACATCGAATACACTGCAGTTAGCGCTCTAGTATTCTTATTATATCTCTATGGAAAACGTACATTGTTGACTACAGGGGACAATGTACAGGACTTGGCCTACATCCATGTTCTCTATCTATTGAATAGTAACTGTAGATCTAAGACTCTAGACCAGACATGGCCTATGTTGTCATTTTGATGTCCCAATCCTCATCAATCATCATTATCGTCGTTTACAGTCTGCTGATCCCTCTAAATGATGGTGTAAATCTGCACATTAACTGTAAGGAGGATAAATCCTGGGAGACCAGGTAGTGCTGTCTCTGGGATATCAATGGTCCGTAGGTGTCACCCGTTACAGCATCTGACCAATGATTATTTGTGACTAATTACTAAAATTTTTAACATATCCTAATCATTACATTATTGGTTTTTTTTTTTCATTCCATTATTGTTTTATTATTCATTCTGAGATTTTGTAATTAGTAATTAGGACACACAAGCCTCAAAGGTCTATTGAATTATATGATGCAAGATGTCTGGACTAGTAAATTCATATTAAGACTGTGAGCATGAATAGAGCAGTGGGCCAAAGTCAAAAGTAAGTCTAAACATATTTTGTGCATGTGTATGAAATGTAATACAACCCTAAAATAATTATATGATGAAATACAAGGCCTACTAGGTGGTGGATCCTCACCTCTACCAACATATTTCAAACCCTTTGTCTTCAACTTCTTTAACCAATATTTGTGAGAGTATAGATTACTACAGTGTTATGTCATGATACCATGTGATACTACTCCGTTGCTATCGTTGCACAAAGCGTTCAACCGGGCGCCATTTTCGCCACTGACAAACTATTGATCCCAATTTCTAACGTAAATATTAAGATGTTGTATCTTACTTTTTCTTTGTAAATTTTTATTGATGATTAAATGTGTGTTCGATAACTAATATAAAGCGAGCTTTTGTGTTTTTAGTACATTTTGATAGTAAAATATTAGATTTCAAAATGCCTTCCAGAAAGCCTAAGAAGTCATTCAGGCGTAATGAACGGTAACTAACGTCCGTTGACAATAGAGAGCGCCACCTGGCGTCGTGGGACACGACTGTGGTACTCTATTTTTCAAACCCTTTGTCTTCAACTTTTTCAACCAATATTTATGAAAGTATGCAAAACATATTTTGGCTCAACGTTAAAAGGTACTTAGATACAATTTAATTGTATAAAAATAATCTAGGGTTGTAATCACTACCAGAAATACCCAATGAGTGTGGCCATGTTTTTACTATACCTTGTACCTTGGGAAATTAATGTGTTACAGTAGGGTCATAATTAGGAAAATGAAAATATTTTAACAGAATACATTTACATGTTACCTACAAGGAATGTGTAATTGGGCATTCTTCACAAAGCAGTGATTTAAGTTCAATTATTTTAGGTATGGTTTGCAGAATAAATAAATCAAATGGATCGATCAAGCAATAATTCAGTCATTTCCATCATTATTGCATTCTACAATGAAATTCTAACTGTTTAAAGTTTGCCACATAAATAGAGTTTACTCTTTTGAGTATGGGATTTTATCTGAGTATACAAAATTCACTTTTTGTCAGGTCTATCTCTGAGGGCAAATAAGCTTAACATCGCTTGACAATCAATTGGAACTCTCAAGTCACATTGAACCAAAAATAACCTGACCCGATAGACCCTCTAGTACTTTTCTACTTTTGTGAAGATGATGAAGAAACAGAGACAAACAAATAATGGTGTACAGTAGGCCTAACAATATTAGTAACAACATCAACTAGTTGCATGGTTATAAATTAAACCTCTCAGTTTGCTAACAACCTGCAACTGTTTCTCAAGCGGTCTCACAATGACTGTGAAATGATTACACAGACACAACACAAAACATGTGTAGGACACTGTTGGTTGTCACTGTTTAAATTAAGTTTCTTCATTTCATTTTTATCTTCTTGCAAAAACAGCCTTGTGAAAAACACCAATATGGTGATACAAGTTTTCTCCATTTTAAAATAAAGTTATTATTATCATATTATTATTACTGTCGTCAGACAAGTCTTTAGTAGCAGAATGACACTTAAGCAAGACAGTAATATTCACCAATTGGAAACTGTTCATCAATGTGCCTAAATACAAGTGAAAACAATTATTAAATGTCGATACATCTTACGTACCTTGAGAACAGCTGTAGCGTGTACAAAGTGAGCATTTGCGTATAATCTAGGTGGAATGACCTATAAATTTAAAACAAAACAAAAAAAATTTATTAAAAACACTAACTAAAAAACACCAATATCAATAGTAGATAATTTATATTATTTGTTGGTTTATAAATTATAAGAGAGCTGCTTAGCACAGTCGGCTAATCTGGTGGTAGCCACTGTGTGTGCGCTTAACCGTGGAGATCCCTAAGTCCTCGGTTCTATTCCCATCGCTCCCTCTCCTTGTGTTTCAGAAAATACAAGTACAATAGCGCACCGTCTTTCGGATGAGAAACGTTTAAGCCATTGGTCCCATGTGCATTTATGGCCCATGTGCACGTTAAAGAAAGCAGTACACTCTTCTGAAAAGAGTAGGGGATTGTCTCCCGGTGTACTGCCAAATCACCATCAGAAGGACCCCACTGGAAGTAAGTCTTCTTCTAGACTTTCGTGGGCTATCCTTGGTGTTTACACCAAATAAATCCAATCCAATCCAAAAAGACAAGGCCATGGTTTGCACAAGACAATTAATGACTATTTAATTAAGGTGAAACCTTGATTAATTTCAATATAAATATTTGATATCTAATACAACCCTTCCATTAATGATAAACTATGATTAACAGTATTTAAAAAATTAATAATTAATAATGCTAACTTAATAATTGATAATGCCAAATAGTGAAAAAACTCAGTGAATGCAAATAAGAGGAAACTACAAAATATTAACAAGGATGATATCTAGACATACAACAAAATATATAGTCTATGCCAACTCCTTAAATGCAAATTGTAATTACTGTATTTGAATTATTTACTAGAAATGTTGCAGTGGTTACAGTACATGTATTAAAAGGAAGATCATTGACGGTAGCAAGACAAAGAATTAATTAAATCACTCATGGCTAAAACAATCCATACAATCAAGAAAGTAGGCTAAATTATGGGTCACTTTACTGCCTAGCTTGTGAGCTAATCAAGCATTCAAAGCTATACCTTAAATATTCATACTTTGTATTCATCACAATAATTCCAAATTTGTACTTTTGCATAATTATATTCTTAAAGCATTTATTTTCTATTATTTAAACAAAATTCAAAAACAGTACACATGATTCCTTAAAGTTTGAAAATAATGATATCAAAAATTGAGTTTAAAATTTTCTTTGATTCCTTTGAATTGATATCTCCTACTGTAGGTTTAAATACGGTTTACTAGATCTATTATTTCATTGCAGCTTCTATTTCACACAATCATTATCAAGACAAGAAGAGATACAAAGGTATTAAGCTTCTAGTGCTGGTTAAAGCAAGAGTTGTTATTTGGGACAGTTAGTTATTTATTTTACATTACTAGTGAAAATTAAACTATTAAAATCTTGATAAAGTTGTGGAAAGTAAAGCCAGGCCTCACTGCATCATACAAAAGTCATAAAAAGGTCAACCGACGAATCCAACTCCATTCCCTATGAGTAGACGATGCAACGCCATCTCCTGATTATCAGGGCTAGCAGTCTGAACGGATCGTCATTAAAAATTATCCGTTGTGCGCATGTCATGGCATTGCGTTCTCCATAGAATCGCGTCGGCGACGACCGTTGGGCGTAGTGAATGCCAGGCTTAAAGAAGTTGGGAACACATAAAACACAATGTATCACTAATTTATCTGTTATTAATCAATGTCTTACCGGCGTTGAGTGTGATTGCGAGTTAGCTGTAAGATTACTTGATCGAGTTGAGTTTCGATTTCTGAAAAAGAAGTTTTCATTTTAGTAATAATGTATACAGTATATGAGATACATTGCTCTTAGTCAATACTCAACATACATTATGCCTATGTTGTGGACCTACTGTACAATAAAACCTCACCTCAAATAGATTATTTCAACTATTCATTCAAACTGAACAAATTAATTATCATGATGGCTTGCAGCAGGGTACACATTTTAGACTGGTTTTCAGTTCAGGTTCTGGCATGACACCCACTGACCCTAAATACAGTTAACAGAACTACGCTATGATGAAAACTACTTTTGTAAAATGCCCTTTTTTAAACCCAATACTTTAATAAACTAGAACATTCTCACTGACCCTTGTTTTGGGCCTAAACCAAGCAGAGATTTTTCACTGTAATTATAATTTCCTGTAAATCATTACTTGTCTAGCCAGACAGACATTCTTTTACTGTTACAGTAAGTCTGTTTTTCCATGAGACACAGTTTAAATACTGAACTATCTACCAAGTACTGTAGCTGATATGGCAGCTACAGTTTATCATAGTTTTTTTTTTTCAACTGCTGTATAAAAATCTAATAATTTATAATTAAAAACTTAATAGAACATTAAAACTTTGAATAAATCTTGTATATTTATTTGTCAATCTAAGTTGATAAAGCAAACGGTACAATGCTCGAAACTTTAGAAAGTTACTATACATTAGTTGAAAAAGCTATGTTAACTTTAGCTGCTGTAGACCGCTTGGGAAGCATTGCTAAAAAAAGCACTCATTCAAAATTACAATGTGGTAGGAAAAAAGAAAGGTGCACTGAAGAAATTAATAGTGTAGAAAATTGTTTACATATTTACTCATCTCTAAGAGAATTCTAATGTTGTTGTTTCCTCTGGAATTTCCTGTACACTGAAAGTACTATCATTTGTTGGATTTAAAAAAAAAATCAATATAAACTATACAGTATCTAAAACTACTGTAGTCTCAAATCTATTTGATTTACAGTAGTTACAAATATTCTTATTTAACTGTAGTGTAAAGATCGATTGTCATCGTCATAATCCCTGTCTCTTATACACATCTAGATGTGTATAAGAGACAGGCTTAGCACAGTCGGCTAATCTGGTGGTAGCCACTGTGTGTGCGCTGAACCGTGGGGGACCTCTAGGTCCCCTGTTCAATTCTCATCGCTGACTCTCATAGTGTTTCAGCTGGAGGGCTGAAACACAAGTACAATATAGCGCACCGCCTATCGAACCTCTAACTGTATTTATTTCAATAGTATTTTGTAAGGTGGTCTATCCCGTCAAAGCCTGATAATCACCATGATCATCTTGAAACGTAGCCAATCATTGTCATCACCCTATCGCACCTACAACCACCAACAACATTATTAGTATTTTCTATCATCATATTATTTCCTATAGAGGAAGTGATGTATGTCACATGCGGAAGTTAACTGCTAGGCAGCCAGTCCTGATTATAAACTGTTTACATAAATTGTCTGTGTTTTGGAATTAAACAAAAACCACTTTTTATATTTACAAAAGCTACTGTTCAATTTTAATCATTTTTGAATTGATATATAATTTTAATATATTATTTTTATAATGAGCAATTACTGTATACTACATACTAAGGTGTTACATGAATTATAATACAGTTGACATTATGCACATTTTCTGTGATGCTCGAGAAGCTGCTGTTGTATATCTTACTCTCTCACTGATGACTTGTTACAGCGTAGACATCCGGAATGTTCAGATGACTGTCATATGACAGGAATTATTAATTTGTGATTGTGGATAGGGAATTCCCCTCTGTACCTCTTCCTGTTTAGTTCTTGGTAACTACTGGTAACACCACTTAATAATGAACTATTTATTACATACTGTACAACAATTGGTCTTTACACTATAGACAGTACATGTTGTCGTTAAAATAAGAAAAAAAATTGTAACTAAATCAAGTAGATTCTAGACAAGTTTTAGATATATTTATTAAAAATCCAACAAATAATAGTATTTTCAGTGTACCAGAAATTCCTGAGGAAACAACATCAAGATGAAGAGGATCATGAAGAGAATTATGATGAAGAGGATCATAATTATGAGGATCAAAATTATGAGGATCAAAAGGAACATTATAACGATGATCATGATGAATGACTATCATGATGATGGATGAAAATCTTGACATCAATATCTATCAGGTGAGTCGAATAGTAGGGGCGCCGCATTCTACAGCCATAATATCGGCGCTAATTCGAACGGCACGCTCGCCTATGGTTCTGGTGGTAGAACAAGTCTTCTCAGATAAGGACTATATTATACCGTAGGCCCAGTGTATACAATGGCTCGTGTGCACTATAAATAACCCAGTACATCCTTCGAGATGAGTAGGGGGATACCCCGGTGTACTGGAACAGACATCCCCTGTGGTGGACGATGGGTTACCGGGTAGCACAGACACAAAGGGACCCTTAGGGGCGAAGAAAGTCATTGGTCGAGTTTCTAGTCCACATATCAAGCACCCTGAGCATCTTAAATTAGATGGATATGTGCGCTTTATAAAACTACACTATTATTATAATTATTATCTTGAGGGATCCCAAGTTTCAAAACACTGCACTAAATTCCAATAATAACAACTACTGTATATTCATCCTCTACTCTCAAAATTTACGTGCCATAAATCTTCATGTCAACCATAAATGCATATTAATAACACTTTTCCATACCAAATCAGTCAAGTTATTATAATAAACTTTACTCACAGCAACATACAATTGAATTAATTTCTAGCCACATGTTGAGATCTGAAAGATAATTTCCTCAGTTCACCAATGCCTTCTTAGAAGCCACCTGTTTCCAGGTAGTGATATTAAGACAGATACTTAAATGTTTATCCATCAGCTTACCAGTGACAGTTTTACATGAATTAAGCTACAACTTCCTAGCAACTGACTGATTACATCACACGATCTTACGATTACACTTACAGTATCAATATAACATTTTTATAGTCAAATACTAATCAAAATTAATATGAAAACAAATCAACTGTTTAATAATGATAACTACTGTATAAGTCAATCGTAATGCCATTATTGTAAATCCCTGTCATTTTTCTATACCAACCATGCACTAATTTTTCATTATTGCATGGTTTGCTTGATATTTTTTCGATTTATTTGCAAAAGGTGAAAACTTGTACAGATGTATCGCTCACCGTGATGAATTCTAGGTTTTTACTCGCGTCTACAGAAAGGGAATGCAGATGCTCACCCAATTGTCGTTTGTTGACAACACAAGTGGTAATTGAAAAAATGGCTTTGGTAAAACAAAGTTGATTAGAAGGAAGTTACTTCAAATTTAATATTATGTATGAAAAATTAAGGAATTCCTTGAATCAATGGACCCTAATATAAAACTAAAGAAACTGTATATTTAAAATAGGAATATTGTAGATCTATTTTAAAGACTAAATGTACGAATTTAGATGTACAGTATGCAGGCTGCTGAGGCCTAGGCTTACAGTAGATAGTAGCCTAGCCTAGATATGAAATCATCACACGATTTTATCTATCTTCATCACACGATTTTACCTGTATGCATCAAAAAATTCCTTTGGGATATGATACGCACTGTACTAATTGCATATTAGCCATACCAAAATAACATAACAATAAAAACACTTTAATCATAAAAAATCACAATTACCAGTAAATAAAAATAATTGGTTGTATTTATACTGTACCTAAATACAACATTTGGGAGTTCGAGTACGCTAATTCTGGTTTCTTTCAATGCTGTCTTGCTTGTCTGCACAAGGTTTTACTTAGATTGATCATGCTTGGTACATTTTAACAGAAGTGTTTACATAATCATTCAATACTGAATGTTCTTGGTCCAAGTTTCAACAGGAATAATTTTGAAAGTCTGGAAATGGAAAGTTTCTCAGTCTCAGCCTACCTTGCTGGTCCATGCTTTACTGTAACACCTCCCTGGACCCAGAATGAGTACAAAACTTGGGATATAGCCCTAAACTGGTCGAGGATACATTAAATTTTCATTAAACATCTAAGTAATTTAAAGTTTAATCAATTTGACGAGTACAGAAGAAGGGGATATATAGTTAAATAGGCCCTGTACTGATAACCTACAGTAACCGCTCATATGCCAAATGACAGTACAGGGCAATTCCATGCAAAATGGACAAAGCACCTAAATCATTATATTCATTTTAAACAGTTTTGGTGTCTAATTAAAGCTTGAAACATATACTTTCAAAATGTAAACTCAGATTTTTCATAATAAAATCAGTGTTCTCCCGAAGCCGTCTTAGCCGTCAATTTTACCGGTAAAAATAACCAACCAACCAGTAAAAATTTTGAGTTTGTAAAATAAAAAAAACTATTGATTGGGCTTGGGTAGTCCAGGCTGGCCCTTTTAATAAATCAACATCATTCCAATCTATATCTACACTATGAATATGTGTTGTTGTGTCTTCAAGTCATTTAACCCAACTAAAAAGGGGTAACATACCTCACATTGTGCGCATTGCAATTTTTTATGGACAAATTTACCAGTAAAAATTTTTCAGTCGGGAGAACACTGAAAAGGTATTAATTCATACACAAAGGATTGCTCTTGATTCTGCATAAATAAAATTAGGCCTCTATAAAATTCACAGACTTTTTAAATTAAATGTACAATAGGTATAAAACCCATGTCAGATTTACGTCATTTAGTTACCGCTCATATTAATATAATTTTTTTAATAGATAATAACAGAAAGTTATTTTCAAAAAAAAAATCATTCTGCATATATAGGCAGCTATTTGTTATGAAAAAATGTATTTTTTAAAGTCTATTGGCAAAAGTACCTTGTGGTATGTGTTTGAAAATAAAAATCTGTGTCAGAATGTCATTTAGTTACCGTGGGATTGCTCAGTAGTTGAAAACTATGTAAAAAAGAGAATTTTGAAGTATTTTTAGCTCTGATTTATGTAGAGCAG